TTTAAGACAGCATGGTAGTACACACCCCTTTTGGGCTATTTAAACTCCAATCTCCAACACCTCAGGGCACAATTAATGTGTTAATCTGACCAATTGCATGAAGTTCCTTCCTAATACTTTGGATCACTCTTAGAGAGACCGTGTGTTCCGTCACCGGATCCCTTCTGAATCTCCTCTTCATGCAACTATAACTTTGAATTCCTGCCTAAATAATTTGGACTGGCCTTGACTCTGCTTTTGGAATTTCTTTCAATACTGCTTGATCTCCTATTGAACGACCTTGGACTGGATAAAGGACTTTGCTTATGGACTAACCCTGGACACATCAACCAAACTTCTATTTTCAAGGACTGTCGTTTTTTTCTCTCTGCTTTGCTGCCACATCAGTTTGTCGTGCTGAAACTGCCTCAAAATAAAAAGTGAGTGGTTCTTATTTTTTTGTTTGGCATTTGTTAAAGAAAAAACATGACAATATCCCCTTCTCTCACTGACCACTATTTCTTAGTCTTCTGACACTTTTCTCTCTTCTTTCTGCCTTTCACTATCTTACTATACTACCTCTTATCTCCATTAAGTAAAAATCTCGGTGGGACTATGTCAAGGATACCTGAAATGCATAGTTCTTCTCCTTACTACACTGGACTGAAACTAATATTTATTGTTACCTTTATCTGATAACTAATTTGCTATGAGATATCTGTTTTACTACATTGGCAATAACAATTCCTCTACACTGTACACTGTAACTAGCACTGTCATCTCCCTATATATTTTGTCAACTATGTGATTACATGCCTACTGTTTAACCCCTTAAGGACACATGACATGTGTGGCATGTCATGATTCCCTTTTATTCCAGAAGTTTGGTCCTTAAGGGGTTAAAGAACCACTATAGTGCCAGGAAAACATACTCATTTTCCTGGCACTATAGTGCCCTGAGGGTGCCCCCACCCTCAGGGTCCCACTCCCGCCCGGCTCTGTGGAGAGAAAAGGGGTTAAATTTAACTCCAGCGCCGGGCGGGGAGCTCTCCTCCTCCGATCCTCCTCCTCTCCTCCCATTCGGCTGAATGCGCACGCGCGGCAAGAGCTGAGCGCGCATTCAGCCGGTCTCATAGGAAAGCATTTACAATGCTTTCCTATGGACGCTTGCGTGTTCTCACAGTGAGAATCACGCAAGCGCCTCTAGCGGCTGTCAGTGAGACAGCCACTAGAGGATTTGGAGGATGGATTAACCCATTTATAAACATAGCAGTTTCTCTGAAACTGCTATGTTTATAAAAAAAATGGGTTAATCCTAGAGGGACCTGGCACCCAGACCACTTCATTAAGCTGAAGTGGTCTGGGTACCTAGAGTGGTCCTTTAAGCTGAAAATAAAGAATTGGAAAAACAAAATGCTATGCAGAACTAAGAAAATAACAAAATGTCTTACTTTCCCACACTTTTTTTAGATTTTATTCATATCAAATTATGTTTCTTTTATAAAAAAATTTTAATTGAAATAAAGGCTCTGTTTCCCCTGTACAAAATTGTATAATAAGTGTGTGTGCAATTAATATGAAAGTAGTAAATTATGGTTGAACAGAGATATAGTCCAGGTTTTGTTTTGATCAGAACATGTACAGTTGCCTCTGTCCTTAAGGGGTTAAATGACAAGTAACATTTATGTAAATAGCAGTAATTCTTTTTATACTATTATAGATCAGCTGTGAATGTAATCACAGACACCATGGATATTAGATTGTTTGGAAAACAGAGACATGGTTTGCATTTAGACTCTTAGAGGCATATTTGTATTTGCACCTCATCCAAAATATTATAAGTGTCTCTTAATTCTAATTTTAAATGGCACCAGCACAGGGAAAGTTCTTTTAAAATATTTTTCTCAAAATAGGGTGATAAATTGCAGCATATTTTTAAATATCTAAGTGCCAAACATGGTAATAAATATGTGTAAAAAATGTACAACAAATATTTTGTGCATATAAAAAGTGCAGCATGCAAATAATTAGGAAAAACATGAATCTATTTATGACATTTAAATACTGCAAAACTGTATATAACATACAAAATTAATATTTACTTTTTGGACAAAAATCACATGATAGGTGTGGCTGTACGCGATTTAAACAACAGAACTAATCTTTGTAAAAAAAAAAAAAAAAAAACTATTATAAAATTACTAATTGGAACATTTTCCAAAAGCTTTTTTAATTTATTTCTATTTGCTCCATATGTTTGTTAGTATATTAATATAAGAGCAGGAGGGGAACATGTGGCAAACCTAGCCACTTGTGGGATGCTAAACTATCTGTACTAAAGGTTGTCTGCAATAACTGCTGTATTATATGTTGTAACATTGGTCTGTACTGCTATGTGTATAGAATTCGTATGCTGGCAGCCTAAAAGCCGCTAGCATTCATGTATTTCGTTTCACAAACAGCGACTTTACCGGCTGTTCATGAAACGAATGAGCTACCCCCCAGTAGCCCACACATAGAGAGGCGTGTGGCACTCATTAACCGATTGCAACATTGTTGCAATCGGTAGTTAAAGGCTTCCCTAGGTGGCCCTCATTCGGCTACCGACCACACGGCGGTCGGCCATCTTGGATCCTTTGTCTCACCAGCGGTGTTTGGTCGTGGAGCCGAAATCGGCTACTCGATGGCACGAACACCGCTGAACTTCCAGGCCGTTCGGGAGCTCTGGTCTTTTCACTATTGTGGTTCCCCATCAGTGTTCGGTACTTTTAGGCAAACCCAATGTTAAAGTGTATTTCGTGCGGCGTTCGGTTGTTTAAGCTGGGATCTGAGCGGTATTCCCACAAAATGTGCACTCAGACCCCAGCTATCTACCGAACGTCCATTCGTCTAAATAACATAAATATTGTCAAAGTTATAGATTTTCATGTAAAATGTTGGTTCTGCTGCACGGAGGGATAATCCACTTAACGGTATATTCCAGTGGGAGTATCCCTCTCGTCCAGCAGTGCCTGATGGGAGAAATGTCCAGATTGCTAAATCCCCTATGTAGTCCCCTACTGTATTACCCCTGCTATGTCAGTAGGGAAACCCCTTGCATGGGGACTTGCATAAATACTGTGACCTCTGAATAAAAACATCAGTTGACTCCCAGAACTGTGTTTTGTCTGGTTACTGGGGGATTTGGGATATTGTCTTACTTTTCAGCACTTTACTTTGGATTACCTTCTGTACTAGCGGAGATCGTGGGATTTAATATTGCAGCTCTGCTACAGAACCTAGTCCTTTTTTTTTTTTCCTGTGATCTAAGTATGCAGTAGGTTGTGCTATGGACTATCACACAGCAACCATATGTTCTCAAGGATTGTACCCAAGATTGGTCCAGTGCACTCGTAAGTGCAAACTAGACACATGATCAGCAAACCTCATCAGATGGACCCAAGTGTGATGGCCACTAAATTGGTCCCATCAGTTTGCAGCCCCTGATGCAGCTGCTCTGACAGAATTTCTGCAGTTGTGGAACATTTAAAATATTTTTTTTTTTTAAAGACTATGCCCTTTATAAGCAGGGCCAGACTGGGAACAGAAAGCAGCTCTGGAAAAAAAAATATTCCAGCCTTATAATTTATCGTGCCACAGAGTGTTTGTGTTTTTTATCTCAATGTGCTTTGGGGGCTGTTATATTGTTTCTTACCTGCAGCCCCTCACTCCATTTGATCCATGGGTATTACGGTGCTGTAATACCCACCCTCCAGGCTGACACACACAAACTCACTACAGACAAGCTCAACAACACACACAAGTTCTCTTACTCATGCACAAGCTCACTACAGACAAGCTTACTGATACACACAAGCTCACTACAGACAAGCTCGCTGACACGCACAAGCTAACTCAAGTCAAGATCACTGATACACACATAAGCTCACTAAAGACAAGCTCAATGACACACATACAAGCTCAATGACACACACAAGCATGCTACAGACCTGCTCACTGACATACACAATGTCCCTATCATCTCACTGACACACACTCAAGCATAGTACAGACATGCTCACTGACACACACACATAAGCTCACTACAAACGCACTGAAACACACAAGCTCACTACAGACATGCTCACTACAAGCTCACTGACACACACAGAGGCTCACACACACACATAAGCTCACTACATGCTCACTGACACACACACAAGCTCACTATAGACAAGCTCTCTAAAACACACAAAAGCATAATACAGACAAGCTCACTACAAGCACACTGACACAAACAAGCTCACTATAAGCTCAGTGACACACACTCAAGCACAGTACAGACATGTTCACTACAAGCTCACTGACACACACACATAAGCTCACTACAAACTAACTGACACACAAGCTCACTACAGACATTCTCACTGACACACACACAGGAGCTCACTACAAACTCACTGACACACACAAGCTCACTACAGACATGCTCACTAAAGCACACACAGGCTCACACACATAAACTCACTACAGACTCACTGACACACACATGCTCATCTACTAGTGTCTTAAAGGAACACTCCAAGCATCCTAACCACTACAGCCCGCTGGGACTATTGCTAAGTTGGAAAATTTGTCTACATCATCTAATATCATAAACAAATGCTTTTTAACCACTACAGACCTCTGTAGTGGTCATGGTGCCATGAGAGCCTTGCTGCCATTCATCACTAAGGTGTCAAACTTTTTTAGCATGGATTGACATTTATCTAGGTTTTACTGGGCGCCCATCCCACAACTGTTACATCTGGTATTCAACAGCAGGAGAAGCTATATTTCACTGCTTAGAACAAACTAGGACTGGAGTCATAAGCGGAGATAATCAGTGCTGTCCTCAATCTGCATGCTGTAGCAGTTATGGTATTTGAATTGTTTCATCAATTTAGAATTTCAGTTTACGGTTTACTATAAACTGGTGCTTAGTGTATATACTCCACAAAGTTGTATTATTTAAACCAGGGCTGCCCAATAGGTAGATCCCCAGACGTTGTAGAACTACAACTCCCATGATGCCTTTTCATTCAAAAGGCATGAAAAGCATCATGGAAGTTGTAGTTCTACAACATCTGGGGATTTACATTTTAGGCAACCCTGATTTAAACAGTGGATTGTCTGAAACTCATAAGTGTCCCTTTAAATTTAAAGTCTGTGGTAAATTCCTGTCAATTTTCAGTTTAATGAATAAACCTGCCAGTGTTTTCCATAGGGATTAATTCACACAAAGAAGCTCACTACAAGCTCTATATACACACACACACTCACTACAAACTCACTGACACACACTAGATCACTACAAGCTATACACACACACTCACACTCACACAGTCACACTCACACACTCTCTCTCTCTCACTATCAATCCTGGGCTGCTTAGTGGATATATAAGTACCCGTAACTTCACTGTACCTGGACTTAGCGTGCAGTATGAGTATTTTTCATGAAACTCTTCCACTTCACCAGGGAGAGGCTGGGGGCGGAGCTCTAGTTCAGGGGCTGGATCTGCCAGACTGTCCATGCAGAGCTGGAAAGAAGCTGGTTTTGTGAGGGAGTGATAGAGACTTTCAGTGCTCTCTCACTCCTCTCTGCTGCAAATCAGCTGTCACCTGTTTCTGCTACCAGCCTCTGGCAGCCTCACTGCGGCCATCCAGCAAACTTTCTGCCCCAGGCTCCAGCCCCAAACAAAAAGATCAGAGGAGGAAAAAAAAAAGAGTAATGTGCTGCACTGCCGGCCCCAGGAGCACCGGCCCACCGGGGAATTTCCCGGTATCCCGGTGGGCCAGTCCGGCCCGGTTTATAAGTAATGTTTCTATGTATTTATTGCTGTGAGTCCATTTGCCCATTACAAGTGCCCCACTAATGCAAGCAGTGGACAAAACACATGATATGAGATAAAGCTGGAGGTAAGTATTAATCAAAAGAATGTGCTCAAAGGGGAAGCCCATTAATTAATATTCTGAGGATGTATGTTACTTAACCCCTTAAGGACGGAGCCAAATGTACACGTTATGAACAAAACAAAATGTAAACAAAACCTGGCATTTGCGCTACATGTCTCTCCAACCGTAATTCACCTCTTTCATAGTAAATGCACCCACCCTTATTATATATCATTTTATTCAGGGGAAACAGGGCTTTCATTTAATATCAAATATTTAGCTATGAAACATAATTTAATATGAAAAAAATGGGAGAAAATAAGATTTTTTTAGTTCTACATGACATTTTAACTGTCAATGTCATAATACTGTTTGCTTTTACTGCAATAAAATACACATATTTGTATTCAGCAAAGTCTCACGTGTAAAACAGTACCCCCTATGTACAGGTTTTATGGCGTTTTGGGAAGTTACAGGGTCAAATATAGCACGTTACATTTGAAATTGAAATTCGCCAGATTGGTTACGTTGCCTTTGGAACTTTATAGTAGCCCAGGAATGAAATATGCGAGTAGACAACCCAAGGTATTGCAAATGGGGTATGTCCAATCTTTTTTTAGTAGCCATTTGGTCACAAACACTGGCCAAAGTTAGCGTTAGTATTTGTTTGTGTGAAAAATGCAAAAAACGCCAATTTTGGCCAGTGTTTGTGACTAAGTGGCTACTAAAAAAGACTGGACACACCCCGTTTGCAATACCTTGGGTTGTCTACTACTGCAAATGGTATGCCATCATAGGGATAATTTTCATTCTTGGGCTGCCATAGGGTCTCAAAGGCACCGTAACCAATCTGGCGAATTTTAATATGAAAAAAATAAAACGCAAGCCTTATATTTGACGCTGTAACTTTTGAAAACACCATAAAACCTGTACATGAGGGGTACTGTTGTACTCGGGAGACTTCACTGAACACAAATATTTGTGTTTCAAAACAGTAAAAAGTATCGCAGCAATATCGTCCGTGTAAGTGCTGTTTGTGCGTGAAAAATGCAAAAAACACTTTTACTGGCGATATTGTTGTAATACATTTTACTGTTTTGAAACACTAATATTTGTGTTCAGCGAAGTCTCTCGAGTAGAACAGTAACCCCCATGTACAGGTTTTATGGTGTCTTGGAAAGTTATAGGGTTAAATATAGTGCTAGAAAATTAAATTCCCTTTACTTTCGGCATGGGTTGTCAGGCAGGTCCCGCTAATTGTAATTAATTAAGATACCTAATTATGTAAAAATATTACATAAATATATATGTAGAATTAATATATGTGTGTGTGTGTGTGTATATATATATATATATATATATATATATTATATATAATTTTTTCAAACTATTTTTATAGATATATAGATATATATAGTGATATATACGTATATATTTATGTATGTAGATATATATATTATTTTGTTCTACGTGTATTTTGATATAAATATATAGATTAATATCACAATACAGTTAGAACGAAATTAAACACATCTATATATTTTTTTATTATTTTTTTAAATTATTTTTTAATTTTATTTTTTAACGTATTTACATATTAAATTTTTTTATATTATGTGAGGGGAAAACAGAAGTTGGAACGAATAGTTTAAACGTATGAATTTTATGCGAACCGCAAGCGTGTTTGAGCGTATCATGAAAAAAGTGCCGAACGGCAAAACAACCGAAATGATAATCTGTTCCAATGACCTAGAATAGTTATATGCGAAATGACTATTTATACGAATATCCCGATTAGCCGAATGACCGTACGAATGAAAACCGCGAACGGTTTGTACAATTTTGTGACATATCAGGGAAAAACTTACAGCGAGGACCCGTGCTGTACCGTACGCTGTGGGAAACGATTCTGGTGTGACAGGTAGGTCTGACTTACGGTTTAGGAGTCCCTGGGACGACATCTACGACGAAGACCGGGGTCAGAAGAAGCTGGATGGACGGAAAAGGCCTGAACAGGATTCCTGGACACAGCTTGCCGCGGTAAAACCTTGTGGATACTGAAACCAAGATGGCGTCTGAGAGAACCCGGAAGTGGATCCTCATTCAACGCTGACCTCGAACGGTAAGGAGCAAGGTAAGGGGTGTGCCTTAAGTAGGTTAGGAGTGGATACCAAGCACCTCCCACAAATCCAGGCAAATTGCCTTAATACATATATGATCTAAGTATACATTATTATTTTTTTTTACACTTTTTAATTTATTTTATTTTTATTTTCAGCCAGCAGGGGACCACCTGTCATTACAGGCAGCCCCCCTGCTGGCAATGCAGGAGGCAGCCTACCCGGCCATGTGATTGTGAGGTCCTCACAAAGACCTCACTCTCATATGGCCAGGGGTCACCAGAGGAGGAGGATCTACCGGGGGGGGCTCCCTGGGAGTCCCCCCACCCACCGCCATCGCCGGCGTGGGACCGCAGGCGACCGGGTAAGTAAGGAAAGCCCGGAGGGCGTACAATTACGCCCGGCGGCGTTTAGAGCCGCCTAAAATAGGGCGTAATTGTACGCCCTCCGGTCTGAAGGGGTTAACCCCTTCAGGACGGGGTCAATAGTACACGTTCTGATCAAAACGTAAACAAAAACTGGAATTTGCGCTATATGTCTCTTTACCCGTAATTCACCGCTGTTACATTAAGTGCACCCACACTTATTATATATCATTATATATCAGGAGAAACAGGGCTTTAATTTATCATTAACTATTCATATATGGAACATCATTTATTATGAATAAAAAATTTAAAAAATTTAGAAAATAAGATTTTTTTTTAAATTTGTATTTCCGTCTGACATTTTAGCTGTGAATGTCATAATACTGTTAGGTATTACTGCAAAAAAAAATGCCCATATTTGTAATCAGCGATGTCTCACGAGTACAACAGTACCCCCCATTAACAGGTTTTATGGTGTTTTGGAAAGTTACATGGTCAAATATAGAACGTTCCATTTTCACATTGAAATTTGCCAGATAAGTAATGTTACCTTTGAGATGGTGTGGTAGCCCAGGAATGAGAATTACCCCCATAATGGCATACCATTTGAAAAAGTAGACAACCCAAGGTATTGAACGTGGGGTATGTTTAGTCTTTTTTAGTAGCCACTTAGTCACAAACACTGGCCAAAGTTAGCGTTCATATTTGTTTTTGTGTGAAAAAAGCAAAAAACTAATATTTGGCCAGTGTGGCTACTAGAAATGACTGGACATACCCTATTTGCAATACCTCGGGTTGTCTACTTTTGCAAATGGTATGCCATCATGGGGGTAATTCTTATTCCTGGGCTTCCATACACTCTCAAAGGCAACATAACCAATCTGGCAAATTTCAATGTCAAAAAAATGAAATGCAAGCCTTATATGTGACTCTCTAACTTTCCAAAACACAATAAAACCTGTACATGGGGGGTATTGTTATTCCCGGGAGACTTCACGTAACACAAATATTGGTGTTTTAAAACAGTAAAACATATTACAACAATAATATAGTCCATAAAAGTGCCGTTTGTTTGTAAAAAATGCAAAAAACGTCACTTTTACTTAAAATATCATTGTTGTAATACAATTTACCAGTTTGAAACACTAATATTTGAGTTCAGCGAAGTCTCCCGAGTAAAACAGTACCCCCTATGTACAGGTTTTATGGTGTCTTGGAGAGTTACAGGGTCAAATATAGTGCTTGCGAATTAAATTCTCTGCACTTTCTCCCTGTGTTGTCAGGCTTGTCAATCAAATTTTAATTAATCAAATCACATAATTATGTTAAAAGATTACTTAAATATACACGTAGAATTTTAATATATATGCATTTATAGGTATTTAAATTCTACGTGTATACTAATGTAATCTTTTATGTAATTATGTGTATATGTGTATGTGTGTGTATGTGTATATATATGTATGTATATATATATATATATATATATATATATATGTGTGTGTATATGTGTGTGTGTGTGTGTGTGTATATATATATATATATATAATTTGCGGTTATTTGTATTTCATATATAAATATATATATATATATATATATATATAGAATGTCATTCTACGTGTATTTTGATATATATATATATATATATATATATATATATATAACAAAATACAGTTAGAATGAAATTACATATGAATATAT